ACTGAGTCTCTTAAAAAAAAAAAAAAAAAAAAAAAAAAAAAAAAAAAAAAAAAAAAAAAAAAAAAGCCTAGAAGAAAATTTGTTTTCACTTGGGCCTGAACCTCCAAGGATAAATTCCTGAACATATGATTTCTTTTTTTTGTGGTGCTGGGGATTGAACCCAGGGCCTTGTGCATGTGAGGTAAGCACTCTACCCACTGAGCCATGTCCCCAGCCCTGAACATATGATTTCTACAGGATAAATTACTGGACATACAATTTCCAGCAATACCCGGATCCATACTGCGAGAGTAAATCTGCCCTTCATGGGCTCCACCATCTTTAGTCACTGCCTCTGAGGAGCCCTGCTCTTGTTCTCTGAACAACCACCAGATGGTCCTGTCTACTGTCCATCAGTCTGATGTGGGCGGAACTCCAGAAGGGCAATTCCCTGACCACTGGTGAGACTGAAATCTTGTTCAGTTTACTGGCCATCTGCATTTCTTGACATGCAGCCTGAACTGCTCGCAACTCGACCCCCTTTCCTACAAGCATGTTCCAGGACACATACTGAAGACAAAGAGAAATCCAGTCAGCCAACACAGCAGTGGGAATGAACAGAAGCCCAATGTCTTAAAGGAAACCCAAGTTGTAAGCTCAAAATGGCATTGTGGAAGGTCAGCCAGACGAGAAACATGACCTCAGCTACGCAGGTGGTAGACAAAGTAGGCTAACCATCTGAGATCCCCAAGTCTGCCAAAGTTCTGGTGCATTGACAGCATCAAACCATCCTGTTTTAAGGGAGCAGTTCTCCAAAAAGGAATTTTGGTTATATAGAGAGTCATGTTTTGGGCTGGGGACATAGCTCAGTTGGTAGAGTGCTTGCCTTGCATGCACGAGGCCCTGGGTTCAATCCCAGCACCACACACACACACAAAAAAGTCATGTTTTGCTACCCACTGATGCAGTCTGGCTCAGGTCTCTCTGGCAAGGGAGGGTCATGGTACCTTATGGCTGAAGGGAAGAGTGAGAATGTTTTCAAAAGGCCTGGCCCAGGGTTGCCTCCCACATGACCCTCCAGCACCATTACTGGTCAGCCTGCTGCAGAAACATCCACCAAGGGCCTTGAGATCTGCCTGCCTGCGTCCTCGACCTCCAGCACTCCTGATGCCCCTGGCTCTGCTCTGCAGTCTTCCAACGCCTGGAGCCCCACATTCCGTCAATGTGCTGGATGCATGGCTGCCCTGGCTTCGCTCCCCAGATGACTGACCATGCTTGTTTGCTCACTGCAGGCCTCCTGAATGGCCAACACCCAGCTCGTGTCTCTGCTGTTCTACCTCCTTCTCCTCCTTCCTTATCTGTGCCTGCAAGGCCACGTCTGCTGGCCCCTTGACTGCCTTTCTCCCTACACTAAAATGGGACCTCCATGACAGCACAGCAGGGCACACCTGCTCTACTCTTAGAGGAGGCAGCAGCTGTCAGATCCCCAGTTCACCTACACTCCACCCAAAGTGCCTCTGAAATTATAGTCAAGGATTCTCTTTTTAAAGATAGAAACAGAAAGACAAAAAAAATCTGAGATAAGAGCCTTAAAAGACCAGAGAGACTGGAGCTGGCAACAGACCTGAAAGGGCTGAAACCTACACCAGCAATATGGAAGGCCAACACCACTAATGAAGTAGGGAAAAGGCACGCTGAAAACAGCATCGAGAACTTAAAAAGCAAAAAGCCTCTAGATTCACACCAAACTGCAATACTGAGCAGCTGTCCCTCTCCTATTCTGGTCAAAGACCGCTACTGCTTCCTCTGGAAAGGGAAACAGAATCTTTGACCTGGGGTCAACAGTCACAGTGGAGAGGGATCCACTCTGGAAATAGACAGCAATATCTTTCTTGGTTGGTGCTCAGACCCCCACCCCACCCCCTCATGTGGCCCCCTAACACAAGAAACAGGCAGAGCATCCCTCCAGGGAGCCTGTGGAGACCCAAAGAAGCTGATGAGGGCTACGAGGAGACAGTCCAGCAGAGGTTTCTGCAGAGGGTGCCACGACACACAAGCCATGACTACACACTCAGGGGCCACTGGCATGCACCAGGCACAAACACATGACCAGAGAACCCAGAAGAGCCCTGAAATGAATGAACAAACAAAGAGCAGCCTGAAGCAAACAGTGACTTCAGGGAAAGCTTGAAGAAAAACTCAGAATCCACAGAGACATAGGACACATTACATTTGTGAAACAGAGATAGTTTATGAACCAGAAATGGAAGGACCAAGGGAAAGCTCTTAGAAATAAAATGAGAACAATTCAGCAAAGGGACTATAAATCTGAGAATACATTCCAGAAAGAAAGGGGAAACTAAGGGCACACAGCCTCAATAGAGGGTGCATGTGGTGAACACAGTAAATGATAATGTATCTAACATTTTAAAATCACAGACAGTAAATGTCAAAGCTTTCACTGTCAGGAATCAAGTTTGTGGAGCAATGGATATGCTTATTAGCTCAATTCTGTTATTCCAGATTGTATTCATAAGCATCATTTTGTGCCCTGTATACATAACCAACTATAATCCACCAATTTATAATTTGGGCATAGAAAACCAATGAAAATTAAGAGTGCCAATCAGGAATCTGACAGAATTTCAGAAAGAAAGAAAAAGCAAAGGGGAAGAAGTCAAAGTGCTGAATTAAGAAACTCAGGATCAGGAACACAAATTTCCAAATAAAGAGGCTCAGAGTCAGCAGACTCTGAAAACAGACCCCAAAGGAATCTTGTTTTTGGTGTTCTTAATTCCAGAGAGAGAGCCTTTGACCTTTGCCAAAACAGTTACGCAGGAAGGTTCGACACTCAGGATGGCCTAAGACTTTAGCCACTGTGGTGCAGAGGACAAAACCATGTTAGGTTTGTGCTCAGGCACAAGGCAGAACACAGCACCTGAAGACACGTGAGCCCTAGGCACTTCACCTCCCTGCAGCTGCCCTCAGGGTTGCCAGCATGTGCTCCAGCAAGGCGACAGTGAAGACGGCAGAACTTGGGCTCCAGAAGACCCAGGTCCCAACACGCAGGGAGCTGCGGTGGCGTGAGGCACAGTCCAGGCAGCCAAGGCTGCAGTGCTCAGAAGCACTGGAAGAACCAATGCACAAGGAAATGAATAGAACACTGCCTTTCACCAGATAAAAGCACTAAATTCCTTGGAAAGAGACTTTAGCGACATGTAGAAAACTAAGCAAGGAGCAAACAAAAACCAAACAAAATTCATAACTCCAGGGAAAACAAAACGTTATCCAGGAAAATAAAAATAACCCTATTACACCTCTTGGCCTAGCTGTGAATGGCACTATGTAGTCACAATATAAACACTAAACACCACCCCCACAACACACACACACTGAACTCACCAAATTGAGGACACACCCACTCTGGGGAGCCATGATCTGTCTGCACAGGGAAAGAAGGGGTGAAAGAAAGCCCGAAACTCCACATTCACTCTCTCCTGTCAAACAGGTGGGAGCTGCAAGTGAGTTAAGCAAACTTGCTCTTCAGACTTGGGAGTCCATGAGGAGGCGAAGAGGGTCCTCTGAAGGGAGGAATGAGACTGGGGAAGGACACTAGAACTTTTTCCTTATCAGCCCCTATTGTGTATTTGACACTAAATCATATGAAGATATAATCTTGATTTGAAATGATTTTTATTTTATTTTTTTATTTGTTCCTTTTAGTCATACGTGACAGAACCGGGTATTTTGACATGTCATACGTATATGGGGTGTAACTTCATTTTGTGGTTGTTCATGGTGTGGAGTTACACTGGTCCTGTACTCATATATGAGCATAAAAAAGTCATGTCAGAATTTTAAAATTCGTATGAATGTCAGTTAAACATAGTAAGGGAGCATACACTCGGTCAACATATTGTTACCAACCTCATAGCAAGCACCAACAAGGATGACTAATAATACAATGACAGATGCCCAGACATGTTTCAGAAAGCATTTGGCTCTTCTTTAGTGGTATTCGAGGAACTCGGGCATTTCTGCCCAAACAACAGCCTACCAGAAATTCTACCTGTAAAATGTCTGATTCTAGAAATTAGGAGGGAGGAAAAAATAAAACATTGCTTTAGCCCAAAGTATCATGTAATCACTTTTTCAGTAAAAGTGACTAAAGAAGTGAGCCCTGAGACTTAGGCAGACAGCCACAAGACTACAACAACAAAGTCAGAGACTTAATGACCCAAGAAAGTCTCTCATCAGGCCACTAAGAATCAACCTGCCTGATGGAGTTGCCACTGTGACAGGGACTCTGCACTCTCCCCAGGTAGCATTAGTAATTCTAGGTACAATGAGACAAGCCTCTACACAGCCTTGGCTCATAGCAGAACTAACAGTATCAGGAAAGTTTCACCATTATTGTGAATTAGTTAATGGACCCTCTAAAGTTGTCACTGAGGCTTGAGAAAGTCGTCTCCATTTTCCCCGAGTCCTAAATTCTCACAGGTTAACTGTTGACGTTTTGGATCCAGAGAAATAGGAATTCACATGATGGCAGCTTTATTTTATTTATTTATTTTTGAGACAAAGTTTGACTAAGTTACCCAGGCTGGTCTTGAACTTGATGGTCCTCCAGCCTCAGCCTCCAGAGCAGTTGGGATTACAGGAAAGCCCCTGGAGATGAAGGTTATTCTTAACCAAAACTTTCTGAGCTACTTTAAAACATTACTTCTGAGCATTCTACTGTATCACACACTTAATGAATTTATCCTGGGGCACTCTGAGTGTTGGAAATAATTTAAATATACACAAAGGCGCTACGTTTCATCCAATGTTTCAGTATTTCAGGTTTGTTTCCACAAGGAACATTAAACTATCAACAGCTCAACTATCTTGTGACTTCATCTTAAAGATGTTTTAAGAAAGCTGCCTGCTAAGAAAGCGGCTGAAGACACACACTAAATGTGTGAAGTCATTGCCTGAGATCTTGGGGTAGTTTTGAAACTGCAGATGTACAAATAACAAACCCCAAAACTGAAGGACGAGTCATCCTGCAAGTGAAGATCACGGCCTCTACAGGTCACTCCAAACGTTTCTTCGCCCGTGTGCACTGTTTGATACGCAAAACGCGTCCGTTTCTCTTTGGGTTCACTCGGAATGCACACACCACGTCAAAGCTGACCCTTCTAAGTCAGCGAGCCTAAGCACCTGGCCCCCTTCCAAGGGGGCCACCCACAAAAATACCCTCGCAACGGGCCTTGTGTCAGAACAGCTCCGGGTCTCAACGCCTGGCACCCGCTAGTGAAGCAGGAAGGGTTTCCTCGTGGTCAGGGGCGCGCAGGGAGGCTTCCTGCACAGCGGCCTTGGCGTCAGCCGAGGCGGGAGACTCCGACGGCTGCCCGGGCCGTAGGCCACACGCGGCAGAGGAAAGCACATCCCCGCTGGACCCTGGGCCGGCCGCTGCGAGCCAGCGCGCTGAGCACACCGCAGGTCTCACCTAGCTCCTCTGACTAGGAGAAGCGAGGGCCGCGCCGGCTCCGCCCTCCCCGCGGGGCGCGGGCCCCGGCTGGCGCAGGAAGGCCACGTCCCCCAGGACGGGCGCGACTCTATGGTGTGCGCGGGCCGCGCCCCACATGACCCATGCGCAGCCAATCCCGGCGCGGCGACGTGCCATCGAGACGACGGCCGCGGCGGCGGCTAGAGGAGCCCGCCGGCGGCTCGCCAGCCCCAGCCCAGCCCCTCTCGGCGCTGCCAGCTCGGTGCTGCCGCCATCTTCCTGGAGGGGAGGATAGAGGCGAAGGCCCCCTCCCCGTCAGCCCTCTGCACTCACGCCGCCACCTGCCCGTCCCCGGCCGCCCTTACCCTCAGCGGCCACCTGGCTCCTTCTAAAGAAGCGCCCTTTCTCCCAGTCCAGTTTCCCGTAAGGTGAAGATTCTCGTTACCTGTACCACTCTTATTAGCGTGAGGAAACCAAGCTCATAAGGTAGGAACTGTGGCGAAACAGGGACAAGCCGCCATCTTGGTAAAGGAGAAGAGGCTACGCTTGACCTCCCCCCGCCCCCAGCCTCTATATGGCCAACCGCCGTGGGAGGGGCAAGGCGCCTGCGCAGAGGCGGACGCCGCGGACGCTTGTGCGCCTGCGCTATGGGGCCGCGCGGGGGAGGGGAGGAAGGCCGGGAGGCTCTGGCCAGGAAGGTGTTGGCAAGGGCGGGGCGGCTCGATGACGCAATCCGCGTGCGCGCGGGCGGGCGGGGCGGGGCGGGTCGGGTCGGCGGCGCATTGGGTCTGCACCTCTTCTGCGGTTTGGCGGATCGGAAGGTGAGTCTGCCCGACTGTCCCGTGGCCGCACGGCCTGGAGCTACGGGCCGACCCTCTCGAGGGGATGCGGGGCGCTCCGCTCCCCCTGCTCGAGCGCCGGTCTGCTGCGGATGCCGGGCGGGGGAGGGGCGCGGCGGGAGGGTCCCTGCCCGAGGGCGGCGAGCCTGCGACGCCGCGGTCCCCCGCGCGGCCCCGAGGGTGGGCCTCCTGGCGGGCCCGCGAGCAGGCGAGCGTAGAGAGGGAGGCGGCGGAGCCGGCTCCGCCGGGCGCTTCGGTCCTGTGGCCATCTTGTCCCCCTAACGGTGCCATTTCGTCCTGGAGATGTGGAGGACTTGCCGGCCACCCCGCGACCTTTGCGAAGCTCAGGGTCGCGGAGCCCGTCGCGCCGATATGATGGACGTGGCCGATAAGTGGGCCGAGAGGCAGCAGGGCCTGTCCGCGGTGGCTTTCCGACGGCACCGGCGACGCTGGACAAAGGGCCTCCTGCACCGAAGGAGACTGCGGGGATGGGGGCCCGGTGGGGAGGCCGCTGAGCCGGGCGGGCCAGGGCACCGAAGTCCGGACCACGCCTGGTTCCCGTAGCTTTCCGGCTCCATTTCGCCTCGGCACCGCCCGACCCCGTGGGCTCTGCAGACGCGCAGACCCACGACGCAGCCGCGCTGGACTTGGAGTGCACGACCTTGGCCACCTTCCGTGCCTCCCGCTCGCCTGGTGTTCCTGCCCGCGGCTTGTGCTGGATTTGCAGGCTGCGTAGGTGTGCGCCCGATGCTGTGAGGTAGTGGTCACCCTCACGTTGCCTAGCACGGTGACCAGCACGTAGTAGGTTATCAAGTAAGATAAGGAAGTTTTGTCATTATAAGGAAAACTACGATGACGTGGGGGGGGCTAAGAAAGCAATTTTCTGGTGCTTCTAGTTTGAGGTTCATTATTTTTAGTGGTTATTTTTGGGGTCCTATATGGCACTGACAGTGTATACTGATTATGTCTAGCTGATACTTTTTCAGTATTCCACTCTGATCTCTCTCATCAATGCCACAGTTTTCATATGAGATCAGTTTTTCGTTTTCATTTAGCAGGGTGACCTAGGGAAAGAGGGTAGGACCTAAATTCATGAGATTCAGGTTTTTCTGAATTCCAAAAATATAGAGTCTTCTGTAAATGGAAAAAGTTGTTTTTTCCTAAAGAAAAGGGTGCATCAAAACTAATCTGGCTGAAGAGCCGAGGGAGTCTGTTGATATTGCCTGTACTTACTCCACTTTGTGCTGGTGGTTGGGCCAGTTTCTACAGAAAGTTCCCTTGATTGAAGGGTACTAGAAAACATATGCCTTCCTCAGATGGAAAGAATCCAAATGTAGAAACATTTTAAGTCCTTTGGATAGGGAATGATGAACCTTTGAAGTCCTGTGTTGAAAGCCAGGGGATCACTTTGTGAACTTGGGGTGATGTACACAAGTATAGGAATAACATATATAAATGAATGATAATTCTCATTTGTGAGTATTTCATTAATATAAATACCACTTGCAAAATAAGAATTTATAATGCCAGGGTAGTTTTCTTTGTTCTTGATCCCTTGTTGGGTAAGTTGGTTTATTATATGCAAATTTGGATGAGGGTATTGCTCTGTGTGAGGCAAGGATAAAGAACTTGTAAACAGCTTTCAGCATCTGGAATGAGCACAGTGTGAAAGAACAGAACTTTTTCACTTGACCACATTTTTGAGAGTTGGGGGATCCCATTGGTCTGTACCTGAGGTTTTAATCAATTACAGTGCTCAGCAGTCTGTTACTAGATCAGAGCCTTCTCACTGAAAACCAGGTGCTCCAAAGGTTCAGTTCCTTTTCAGCTTTTGTTTTACTAAGTTAATAAATTAAATTGTTAGAAAACCTCTATGGATCCAAACTATGATTCAAAAAAAAATTAATGTGAAACAAATAGGAGGTGGCAAGAGAAGCTTCATAACATTACAGCAGAGTTGAATGTCTTCTAAGAATTTGTAGCCTGGAATTCATAATTGACACAAAATAGTGTGTTCTCCATTTTTCCTCCATTTTCTCATACTTGTGTCTCGGGAGAAGGTCTTGATATGGAGGAACCAGACAGAAGTGGAAGTCACCGTTTTCCCTGGAAGAGCACAGCAGAGTAGAGGTCAAGGGCAACATGAGGCCAGTGTCTGAACGGTGTGCAAATGAAGGTGGTCAGTGGCCAAAACCAGGGCCCGAGGGTCCAAGAGAGGCTCTGGTCTTCCTGTCACAGGGTCTTGGTTTAGGTTGGGTAGGTATGATAGCTGGTAAAGCAGGTGCCACTCTTCTGTCTACAGAGATCTGTACTTCCACAGGAATGGGAAGGTCGGCTACATGCTCCCTTAAGAACAAAGCCCATTAGAGATTCCTTTTAGAATTAGACTTAATTATGATAATCTGGGGAAAAGGAAAATAATTTGGTTCACATAGGACCTATTTTCTCTTGTTCCTAAACTTGTTCCTATGTCTATGTGTTTGATTTTTCTGATGTCAATGACATTTTCCCTCTTTACATTCCTTATTTATTGCTAGTATTGGGAGAAACTTGACTTAGTTAATATCCATCTTGAATTTAGACACCCTATTGAATTATCTTATTCTAAAATTCTTTTGGAAGTGGGCAGGGGCATACTCTTGCTATGTTACCCAAGCTGGCCTCCAACCCAGGATCAAGTGGTCCTCTTGCCTCAGTCTCCTAAGCAGGTGAGACTGTGGGCGTGTGTCACCATGCCTGGCTTACAATTATTTTTTTTTAACCCCAGTGTTTGTGTTTTCTGTGTATTCAGTCCTGTCAGCAACAGTTTTTGTTTTGTGTTTTCACCTTATTTCACTGCTTTCACAAAACTCACTGAAGTAGTATTAAATAATCATGGTAAAATTGCAATATCCAGATCTTATTTAGATTCTTGTCAAAATGAAAAAAAAAAGTCCAGACAATTGAAAAATATGAATACTGTTTTTTTTTGATTACATTAAAAAGCTTTTATTTCCTCAGATATGTCATTTTAGGAGCCTTTATTTTTAGATATGCATACCAAAGTATAAGTGAAATGCTGGGTCTAGGTTTGACTGTACAGTAGTCCTGGACTAGAAGACTAAGTGTGAGGGTGGATGAACTGGGATGGGCCTTGAATTGATCATTTTTGAATCTGGATAATGGGTGGCACGTGGGGGGGGTTGAATTATGCCTTGAAGTTTTTATAAGTATTTAAAAATATGTGTAGAAAATGTTAAGGGACAGACAATTGAGGATGGTGGGAACTCAAGGTTAAAAGAATATTCCAGAAAATGGGCCCACCGTGCTGAACACCACAAGCTTTCTTTTCCAAGAAGCAGTTTGCCCACAGCCCTGCCTGGCCTCAGTGGACAGGACAGGTCACATTCCTCAGCAAACTGCCTGTCTGCAGGAGAAACTCTGGAGATAAGGATCAGTTCCTCCTAACTGTAAAATCTGTAAGAGTATATGAAGAATCCAATCAGAGCTGCTCGGCATGGGCCAAGGGGACTTACAGTTGCCATGGCAGTGGGGACTTAAAAGTCAGAAGTCAAGAGGTGGACCTGGGCAGGACTCTGGAAACTTCTCTGGGACCCCAGGAGAACTGGAGTGCCAGAGAAGCACATTGTCCCTCAAGAGTGTGTCCTTTCCCTTTTCCTACCCCTTCAATAAACTCCTTCCTGTTAACTCTGAATCATGTCTGAAATCTTTCTGGCTTGATCGCAAAAAATCAGGGTTTGAGGAGGGGATCTCCATGCTGCCTGTGTTTCCTAAAAGGCCCAGCTTTGTGATAGTGATGGACATTGACACTCAGTTACTAATTGTGATTCATGTAGGTTAGCATTAGGGAATAGCATTTGACATTGGTTTTGGGAAATAATCCTGAGTTATATTTAAGTAGTTTCTTTATTTTTTATATTAGGATTGGTTGCTGAATTTTATTGTATACCTCATCAACATTTATTTATCCATTAATTTTTCTTTAATTTGTTGTTGTGATGGCTTATAGTGATAGAGCCTTTTTAAAAAATGCATATATATTTTTGTTTTTTATATATATTTATCTTTTTCACTTGTTTATATACGGTGCTAAGAATCAAAACCAGTACCTCATGCATGCTACGTCAGCACTCTGCCACTGAGCCACCACCCAGCCCCAGTGATGGGACCTTTTGATATGTTTCTGGAATCCAGTTGCTAGCAAATATTTCCTTTAGAATTTTTGCATTGATATTCATGAGTGAGATTAACTTCTGATTCATGAGTGAGATTCACTCGGTGTGTGTCAGCCTCTTCCTTCCTGAAGGTGCTTCTTTTGTTTCCTCTCTCCTTCCCTCACCCTCCCTTTCCTTCTGGATCTGTTATTAAACCATGCAGCCTTCATAAAGTACAGTGGAGAGATTCCCTTCCTGCACAGGGCTTGGCCGTGGTACTTGCTCTGTGTTGAGCTGTAGAATCAGCTCTTACTCCACCTAGTCTTGTCTCTGGGTGACGCTGGCTCTGGGAGGTTGTCCAGTCCCTTCCAGGGCCAGGAGCACACCACTTCTTCCGCCGCCTTTCCCTGCGTGCCACCTTTTGTCCTACCATTCCTATGCGTCCTCTCTTTTCTTCAATTTTCACTGTTCTCTAATATGTGTAAACCCCAATTTTTTAAGTTTTACTTTATTCTTTCAGATGCTTTCTTGGTTGAGTCCAGCGTCCTCTGCTAAGTCAGGTGTGTCTGTGGGATTGCGCAGTCCACTCTGCCTCTCTCATCCCGTGTTCCCTGCATCTATCCAGTCCTGAGAAAGGCCCATGGATGTTTCCTCATTCAAATTATAGTTTTATTAACTTAACTTTGTGTTCTTGTCTTTGCTGTTTAGTTCTTTTACCTTGAACCCTGCCTGACTCATGCTAATCCTGTTGCTCCTCGGGTTTGCCCTGGTGTGGTGTCTTTCAGCCTTTCTCTGGTCCTTAGTTTTAAGCACATTTCTGTTCTAACCAATCTACCTCCCATCCTGCTGCAAGGGCTTCACCACTGAGCCACGTCCCCAGCCCTCTTGATTTGTAAAAAGTTCTTGGTGCTGGGGGTCAACCCAGGACCTCACACGTGCTAGGCAAGCATTCTAAAACTGAGTTACGTCACTCACAGGTCCTTTTTTTTTAAGGAGAAATGAGGTTCTTTTTACATTTATACTGATGGCAGATATTTTTAATTTCATCCTTTTTCTCTTGATGGAGGGTTGCTGTTGGTTCTGTTTGCTCTTGTTCTTTTTCCTTATCTTTGCTTGGTGATCAAGTTGTTGTCTGTTACCTATTTTCTCTTAATATGGCGGATCTCCTCTATTTCTCTTCAATGGCTTTCCTCTTCTTTCCTAATCAGACACTAGTTTTTGTTGTTGGAAGTTGAGGTGGTCATTTCTGTCAATGTGTGTGCTTCTATCTGATCCTCACCTCTTCCTCTACTCCTTTTCCAACCTTAGGTTTTGCTGAGGTAGTTACTCTTTGCAATTCTCGTCTACTAGAATTTTTCTAGACTATCCCTTCCACTCAAGAGACCTTAATTTACCTCTCTTACACAGTTTCACATGGTTGGTTAATGTATAGAGCCTGATCTTTGTTGTTAGGAAAATTTATTTTTTTCTTCCATCTGTCTCTTTTTCTCCTGTGGGAACTTCTACTGTTAAGGAGCTTCCCTAGGTTTTCCAAGACCAAGGCATATAGTGGGCCTCTAAAAGGAAGAACCAAGACTGTAACCTAGGCGTTCTAGGAGACGTTGCCATAAACTCAAGGGCTCTTGAATCTTACTGCTCTATTACTTTGAATAACCAGACCTAATACACTGCATGTATTTGGGGACCTCATTTCTTCCAAGATGCTGGGAATGTTTCCATTTAGAAGAGACACTTGGAGAGTGCAATATTCATGATTTAGGGAAAAGAGGGAAAACAGCAAAGTGAAAGGCACTTTGTACTGTTTCTGGGCCTCAGAGGAAATCGCAATGGACTGCAGGCCTGTCTCCTGACCTTGTTTCTGAAGGTCAGCTAACAGCGCTGGTGTTTCCCAATGCTTCAAGGGTTCTAAGATTTTTCTACAGATTCTAGACTTCTTTAAAAGTGTTGTGGACTCCCCAGCACTCGGGTGCCTCAATCCTGCTCACTCGGCAGCTTGGCACCTCTGCACCGTGGGTGGCAAAGAGTTAGAGTGTCTAGCATGTAGTCAGTCAGTGTTGAAAAGAAAGCTTAATATTGAAAATGTGGAATGGATCACATGTACATGCTGCATATGGTTGCTTTCATCTGTGTCCGACATTTAAGTCTAATTTACCTCTGTGATAAAAGGTGATTTTCATGATTCTGGGGATGTATCTGAGGCCCGTGAGAAGCATCTATGGTATATACGTGCAGTCCCTGAGGTGGGTTTTGTGTGGTATACGTGTGCAGACACTGAGGTGGGTTTTGTTTTGTTTTTAACAGATAGAGGAGACACCAGGAAAGATGTCTAAGGTAAGATCCTGCTTTATCCTATACATACAGGGTAAGGAGAAACTGATCTATTTTTTCAACCTTTTTACAGTCAGGACTTACATGTTTGATTCATTGAGATAAAGAAGTCTAATTTGTCATTCTAAGAGTTTTGAGCTGTCTCTTTTCTCAGGTTTCTTTTTTCTGAACACAGCAATAACAATCCATTTAGCCTCCTTAGGTCATTCCCAGTGGACTAATCAAATAGTGATTTTAAATTCTGGTAGTTTATCATGCTGAGCTTGACGGAGCTCTTAGACTTGATGATTTGGCTTAGGTCAGCCCTGATGAGCTGGCTCAAAGCCTAAGGTAAGTGAATTCTAAGACACCTGCTGAGAAAGACGGAACTTGTGGTTAAAGTCACAGTATCAGTTCTGCCTGCCTTCTGGCTTTGAGCCTCTTGTTGTCCATTGCTCTCAGGTTTTTAAAAAATCATAATCAGTTTTTGCTTTTTATAAAAGTATTATCTGTGTGGGACACAGATAAGCAAAAAAAAAAAAAGAATCAGCCATTTTTCTACCCAGCAAAATAACACTACTAAAATCTGTGTATATTTATTTCCACTTGTATGGACACGTGAATGCAGTTTATAAAATGTAATCCTAAGAGACTGCTTCCTGTCTTTCCAATTAACAAATCAGCTGTGTCTTTCTAGAAACTTCCCATCTTCAGGGTGCTACTGCCTGGCCCTGGCTTGCTGTTTGCCTCTCTGTCCGCTCTGTGTTGGTGCCCTGTCCCTTAGGAGCACTGTGCTTCTGCGCAGGCTCACATGCTCTTTGCGCTTTTCTTTCTTGGTCTTTGAAGCTGTATGCTCAGCATCCCACTTGTGGTCCCCTGCCTGGCCTGTGGTGATGGAAGAAGGCAGAGGAGCTATCTCCCTTTCATAAGTGTGTCCCTCGCAGGGTCTAGTTGGAGATTGTTCTGTAGCCACATCTGCTGAATGAAACCACTCAGTTTAGTACTCTTTGTAAGCTTGATTGGTTTTTTCTTGTAACTCCATTTATCTCAACTTAGAAATTGCAACTAAGAGGAATTAATAAACTTGTACCTTTTATGTGTTGCTGAATTCATAAGCGGAATATTGATTTACAAAATGTTCATTTCAGGTTAGCATATAGCTAAGGGATTATTGGTTTTTCTTTTAGTGATCATAAGTGAATAATACCAGTTTCTGAGAAATGGCTATTTAGAACTGTCACCTATTTATTTGTTGTAGGTCTAAGTGGTTATATCTGAAAAACAATCAAGTTATTTATTAGCTCTTCTTCTTTTTTTATTTAAATCTTGTTTTAGCAACAACCAACTCAGTTTATAAATCCAGAAACTCCTGGCTATGTTGGATTTGCAAATCTTCCCAATCAAGTTCACCGGAAATCAGTGAAAAAAGGTTTTGAGTTCACATTGATGGTGGTTGGTAAGAAACTAATTTATACCTCAGTGTTATTAATTAGCTGTCCCTCTTCCCAGCCGTGGGGTATAGCAACAGCATTGCCTAGAATAGAAGAGGATTCCTTTGTTGGCAGGCTCAAATCACTTGAAAAATTTGGCTTGAGTAGAGTTATCATTTTTCTTTCATCTCTTTACATATGAGTGTTGGGGGTTTAGCAGGGAGTGTTGCCATACTGGGGATTGAACCCAGAGGACTCAACCTCTGAGCTGCATCCCTAGTTCTTTTTAAGTTTTTTATGATTTTGAGACAGGACCTCCCTAAGTTTTGACTGGCCTCAAACTTGCCATCCTCCTGCCTCAGCCTCCCCAGTAGCTGGGTTACTGTGGCACCGTGTCTGGTTTTTGCTCATTGTGGCAGCTGACTTCCAAAATGGCTTCAAGTGACCTTTAACTCCTTGTCTTCATGAGCCGTCTCCCCACAACCCCCCAACTACCTATATAGGCAGAGGTCACTGCAGAAATGAAGGGGTGTGACTTCTTACACTAGGTCGTAAAAGGCCTCGTGCTCCCAGCTTGCCGTCTTTGGGTCCACTGGCTCCAGGGGAAGCCACTGTGGGCTTTGAGGACACTCACACAGCTCATAGAGGAGGCTGCAAGGCGGGGAACTTAAGGTCTGGGTAGCCGTGGGGGACCCCCTTGGAAACAGACTCCAGCCCCAGGCAGACTTAGCTGCAGGACTGCATCTTGCTGACTTGACTGTTTCCTCATGGAAGAGCCTTGAGAGACCCCTAAACCATTCTGAAATTCTCATCCAGAAAAACCTAAAATGTTTAGGGTCTAAAAGCCTCCTAGATGTGAAGTCATGATTACATGTTAGCAGATAGCTGCTGTACTCGTCCATCAGAACTGTTTTTAATTCTTGTTAAAAAATTACTAACTCCTAAAATTATACTGGTGGATGTATTTTAAGCAAGTAACAGTTCTACTGCACAATTAGAACCCTTATTTCTTAAAGTTCATTGAAATTAAGTGGTTACTTGACATTCTTTTTTTTGTTGTTGTTAGTCAGATATCATTATATTATTTACCTATTATATTTTATGGACAATGCTATGTGTTGTACTACAGCATGTCCTTGGACATGCTGAATGTATTAATTCTGTTAACCATATCATGTTTTATTTTATTCTTGGTGACTGAAAATTATCAAAAATACTAAGATAGGCATTGGAAAAAGCTTTGCTCATGAACAGACAAGTGAGTATTCCTTAGAGTAATTAGTTCATGCATCTGAAGTGAAAGAAATTGTGGAATTCTTGGAGAAGAAAAGTGAGTGTCTCAACATGTTTTAGGAGCTCAGTTTCATGATTGTAATAATCATGTAAACTTAAGTTTCTCGTAGAGAAGAGAAATGTAGTGTAGTGTGTCACTCTCAAAAATAGGCTGAGCTGCCTCTGGCTGTGGTAGTAACTGAAGAGCTAGGAGTCTCTTTCTCTGAAGGCCAGATAGTAGACATCTCGGGCTCTGTGGCCATACAGTGTGGCATAGCTATTTCTCTCTGCCCTTGAAGTGGGAAAGCAGCCACCAACAGCACATGAGCAGCCACAGCTGTGTCATGAAACTTCGTAAGAACTGGTGGCTCCGTTAGAACTGAGTTCTAACTGAGATGAGCAGATTAGTCCTCCTACCCTGAATAACTAGAAGACAGCACAAGAGGCTGGGCCCACACTGGTCGATCCTGCAAGAAGGAAAGCAGATTATGGGGACTGTGCAGGCACTGCAGCCATCTGCCCTTGACCCTGGCCTTGCTGTGGGGTGGGGTGAGAATCTAGAACACAACAGTCTCAACATGTAAAGAGACAGAGCACAGTTCAGGGGAGCTGGGGTGACTCACACCTGATGTAGCAAGACAGAACTCCCCAAAAGAAAAAGGGCTCCAGAGAGCTGCAGTGGGGTCCCCTCAGGGTGAAATGTAACTACCCAGAGACTGTGGGCTGGGCGGGAAGCTGCACAGGACCAGAAAGCTTGCAGTGGGCTGGAAACGGGCGTTCCACTTGTCCAAAGTGGAGAGGTCTTACCGCACACCCAGGGCACCGAGGATAGGCTCCAGGGAGTTCCTGCTTAGGAACAGGGTTGGCTGGACATGAAGGCTGAGGTCGGCTCTCCAGGACACAGCTTACCAACAGCCTGAGAGTGTCAGGGTTCACAAGGACGAGCACTTGCCAGGACAAAGGCCTTCACAGAGAGGCATCACACCATACGTGCAGTGTGCCGTTCATGGTAGTTAATGCCCAATAAAGAACTGTTGGCTGTCAGAGAAGCAAAAAAGGTAGTTCACAGGAGGAAAATGAGGCAATAGGGTCAGATCCACAGATGACCAGATGTAGAAATGACAATCAGAAACCTTTTTTGTTGTGATAAGTTCATGATCATTCCTCCTGATGTGTGCCACTAGCTCTGAGAACTCTTAAGAGTGCCCCTATACTTTAAGAAAAACAAGAATATACTGAGATAAATGGAAGGTAGTAAAAAGCACCAGATGAAATTTCAAGAGATTAAAATGACAACATCTGGGTTGAATGTAGCTCGGTGTTAGAGCACTTGTCTCACATGCACGGGCACCTGGGTTCTATCCCTAGCATGTGAAAAAGAAAGAAAAATCTGGTATGAGAGAATTTCAGCCTGGCCTGAGAGCACATGATGCACTGTGGAGGGAAACAAGTACTAAAAGGTCTAACTGAGCACAGAAGAGCAGAGCTAAAGGCAGAAAAGCCCAGAGCACATGGAGCACAGCTTCCCGGCCTTTGTGGCCCATGACAAGCAAGTTGACTCACCGGTGACCGAAGTCACAGGGAAGGTGGGGGAGGAAACCCTGAAAACACAGCACCTGGGCATTGTCCGTAGTTGATGGAAATTATAAATGCATGTTGTCCTGGATCCAAAAAAGCTCAGCAAGCACCAGTGAAATAAGTAGAAAGAAAGCCACCACCACATGGCCCAGTAAAGTTGTCAGAAGTTAGTGATGCCTCGCAGAGCAGGATGAAGACGAGGAGGCACAGCAGAGGACGCCACAGGCCGAGAACGTGACTCACAGTCAGCAAGAACGACCTGGCTGCTCAGCAAATGCTGTGCAGCCACAAGGAAAGGCGGATCTTTGTTTTTTAAGTAAATGAAATTTTAAAGTAAAAGTACTGAAGAAAGTCCCTACGAAGAAAATTCCTTGTAGGAAGGGCAGTGAAGTCAGCTGGGAGGGAGGACCCCAAGCATGTTCTCACCCCCCCCCCTGGATTGAGGGCACTGGGACTTTCCCTCCTCAGGGGTCACACCCACAGTCTTCCTTGGTATCTGTGTGTGCAGGTTGAGAGCGTCTTCGAAGCAGTGGTGAGAGGCAGGGCAGGTTCTCACCTGTTGCGCAGGTGGGCATGGGGCGTCCCTGCAGCACTGCCAGGTGTGCACTCTTCCTGTGAACCGTTAGAGCCTGTGCGTCTTACACCCAACAGGTACAGCTTGGAAATGGCTCGTAGGTGTCCACGTGCTTGTTTGTTACCCTGAACCTTCTTGCACAAAGTTGATGCCTCCAAAATTCCCCTCATGGACCACCAAGAGATGTCACCAGAGAAGACCAGTCTCTGAAGAAGGGTTTGAGGAGTTCCCAGAGAGAAGGGGGCACTGGACTTAGAACCAGCAGGGTTCTTGGTCTGCGTGATGGGAGAAAACTCGAGTTTGCGCCAGTTAAAGGCATAGAGGAGGTTTACTTAGGAAGCAGGTAAGTAGGTGATCAAGAGAGAGTAGAATAGGGCAACCTTAAGAGTTCCCTAATGATAAAGGAATCAGTCGTTTCCAAAAGAACATGTAAATGTGAATGTACCTGATAACAAAGCTCTACTGTACATGCTGAAGAATCTGATAGGAAAAAGGCATGAATCTACAAGTTTTAACATTCTTAGTAACATGTTAAGTCAGACAGAACCGGTAAGCTTACATAATTTCTAAATGGTGTGTCAGCAGCATGGTCCAGGTGACACTCTGAGGTGCCCTTTGCAGGGACATGGCTTATTCACCAGGGGTGTTCTGTGTGGACCTCAAAAAAGTCTGCAGACTTGTGAAGGACTAACAAAAGTATGTTCGGTGATGACCAGTGACATCAGAAAATTATTAAGCTGAAGAAAAATGAAATAACACATCAGCATTTGTGGCATGAAACCTCAGCTGTGCCTAAGGGAAAATGTGTGACTTCAAATGCATAACCAGAAAAGGAGGTTAAAATGAACCACCAAAATCTTACCACAAACTTAAATGAAGAACAAACTAAATTCAGTAAGTAAGAGGAATGAGATAATAAAGAGCAGGAAGCATGGAAGAGAAGAGAGACAGTATTGAGAATTAAGGTGACCTAGAGCCAGATTGGTAAAAATTTATGCCAGGATCACCTCTGACTTGATTGAGCAGAGAGAGACCAAATTATGAAGACGGAAGTGAAGACAGAGTCTGCAGACCCTGCGGTCGTGGAACAGGTCATGGGAAGGACATGAGCAACCTCGCCAATAAATAGTCGGGTGCAACAGGAAAACTCCTTGAAAGACAAAACTGAAAACAAGGAATAAAATAATTTTTTGAAGCTCTATTTTTTTTTAATTTTTTTTTTTTTTTAATGTGGTGCTGAGGATTGAACCCAGTGCCTCCCACATGCGAGGCAAGCGCTCTACCACTGAGCTACAGCCCCGGCCCTCAAGTAGTTATATACCAAAAAAGTAGAACTTATCTTAAAACATTCCCCAGAAGAAACTCTAGACTCGATGGCTTTACTGCTGAACATTTGAGGTAGAAATTGTGTAAGTCTCATAAAACTTCAGAAACAGGTAAGAAGGAAATACATCCCATCTCATGTTATCCCATTATCCCATTACAGTTAACAAAAAAAGTGGATTGGCACTTGTTAACACTGACAGAGACATCTTAGGGTCGTGGCAAGCTCAGCAGTGTAGAAAGAGGCATCCTTGAACTTCCAGGCCACCCAGCACGAAT